TCAGACGTGTGCTCTTCCGATCTCCCCAAAACCCCAAAACCCCATAGGATAGAAAATGATCAATTTTAAGGGTGAAATTCTAATTAAATTAAAGATTTTAATAAAAATGGGTCCATACTTGACATAACCACGCAAGGATAAAGATAACCAGGACGGAGAAAATTCTAGAGTAATCATTACCCTTCTTCAGTTTCTGATTTCTAATTCTCTTTTAGTTTAAATTTGGAGCTACTGGCATGCAAGGCTGGAGAAATACAATGGAGGACTCCCATATAGCTCAACTAGATATTGGAAATGGCATCGGCTTCTTCGGAGTCTATGATGGCCATGGAGGTAAGCTTTTTAATTTTTCTGAATGTGATTGATAGGAAATGAAGTAGCTGAGTTTGTAAGAGATCATTTAGTAGATGAGTTTAAAAAGTTGTCGTCCTTCAAGGCAGGTAATTACGAAGAGGCCTTGAAAGATATCTATATTCATATCGATGAAATGTTGCAGACTACTTATGGAAAATAGAAATTATAGTCTTACAAGAAGAATAGTGATTCTGGCCCCTCTCTATTTGGAAGAGGAGGTGATGATATCGCTCAAGGTACTGGCTGTACAGCAACTTCAGCCTTGATCACTCCAAATGAGATAATAGTAGCAAATTCTGGCGATTCTAGAATAGTTTTAGCTGTAAAGAAGGGGGATAAATATCAGGCAATAGAAATGAGTGAAGATCATAAGCCAGACAACAAGGGGGAGAAAGCTAGAATAGAGAGAGCTGGTGGTTTTGTAGAGGAGAACAGAGTCAAGGGTGTGCTCAATCTATCTAGATCGCTTGGAGATCTTGAGTATAAGCTTGATTCTAAACTAAGCGCAGCAGATCAGATGATTACTGCTGTACCAGAAATAAGAAAAGAAAAGATATCTTCAGATACAGCTTTCCTTGTCATTGCTTGTGATGGAATATGGGACTGCCTTACTTCATAGGAATCAGTCGAATTGTTCGGTGAATTGCTTCCAAAGAAACCTAAAATCTCAGATGCAGTAAACGAGGTCTTTGATAAAATAATCGCATCAGATGTAGCTTCTTCAGGGGGTATTGGTTGTGATAACATGACTTGCGTTGTAGTGCAATTCAAACCTCAATGAATAGCCTTCAATGACTTTACTCAGTCAATTTCACTAACAAACAAACAGACAGACAGTTACTCGCATATAATCGATTGATAAGCTTACTTATTAAAGCATTTGTATTTGATTAAATAGTAAATGTTAAGAATTTTTAAAGTCTTGTACTAATATCTATCTCAAAAGAATCCTCATTTTAATTCAAGAATTCTTAAAATTATCTTACTACATTTTTTCGAAATAATATATATTAATTAAGTTTTACATTATATTAGGAATAAATTATTGATATGTAAGATTTTAGACCAATGGTTTGCAATTAATTTAATAATCACGAATCTCTCCACATCAGAAAATAGAGTGCATTTACTTATGGGAAACTAGTTTAATCAATAACCTTCGGAATAGTTGGCCTCATAATGGCACTCACTAGTTCTAGGTGTGAAGAGATGGTGGCATTTAAATCAAACAATAGCATAGATTTTTCAATCATTGCTTCTTTAATGCACAATCTTAGGGAACACCAATATATTCATATTGGCTGTTCATTGGCTCCCATAGAGGAGTTTCTATGATTGCCTCAGAATCCAATCACTAGCTTTTGAATTCTTCTGGTTCTGCTGCTTTTGTATCATCATTAGGAAGTTGCAAAGATTGAATATCGATGCTATGCTGAGTATCACTTGCGGTTTGGCCGCCATAATTGTTCTTAACAGTAGTCATGCTATGATTAAGGCTATTTTGTGCCATTGTCGAGATCAGTCCTCCGCTACTGCTAAATCTTCCAAGATACTGCTATTAAATGCCATACTTCTGGCATATTTTACTAAGTTCATACGACCAGTCTTTCTTGTTGTTTTACTCAAAGATTCTGGGTCTTAATCCTTCGTCCTATATAAATGGTTAGTACAAATGGAAAGATTTTTAAAAGATTTTTGTATAAAGATTAATTCCTTGAAAATAGAATTGAATATGAGAAGCTTACCTATTGATTTAAAACGCTTGAACTCTTGAAATGATTACTTAACAAATAGAGTCCTTGAATTCGACCGTATCTTATGTCACATATCTTTTGTGAGTTGAATTTAGCCCATTTGCGTTTATGGAACTCTTTTTGGAAATCAAGAATAAATAAAGGATCCACAAAATTTATGAAAGCATAGCCTACATTAGCCTGATTTTAGAAATCTATAGGAAGATACAAAAAATCATATTTTCCTTGGTGGTTCTTGTTGATTTCATTCAATAATGTAGTTTGTACATACTTATTAGGGATGTTTCTAATCATAATGGTTGTTCTTAAGTCTTCCCCTTTTTTAATTTTTTCTATGTCTAACTCATAGTTTTGCGAATCCTAACTTAAAAATGAAGAATCACTATAAGCATTTTTCAAAGATTGATGATTTTTAAATTCCTTTAGGTACTTCTTCTTCCTATTTTAGCCTGTACTGAGACTAATATCAAAAGATGAATTTGATGAGCTTAACAGAGGTTGACAATTAGTTGATAATGGTAGGCCATATTAGCTTATATTGTTATGCAAATCTGATGATGATGCTGACAAGTAATTATTTTAATAAAGCATTTGATTAATTTGCATCGACTAATTTAAGTAATTTGTATTGATATTTTGGCTCATGTAAAATTACTAATGCTTTTGCATCATTTCTGATTGATAGAATGGCTATTAATCTGAAAAATTCCTATTATGAATAGGTGCACCTTAATGTGTGTTAGATAAAGCATTAATTTCATTGTTATTTCTAAAGATTGCACCCAATGTTTAACTTGAATTAAATTTATTGAAAGAATTAGTATGTTTAATCGATCCTGGTGTTGAGAATGCTGGTGACTAGCGACCAGAATTTGGGCCTTGAAATATCTGTTCTAGAGAGTTGTTGAGATTTTTTTGTCCTCTGGAAGTCATGGCAAATTTCTACTCAACTGGACTTTGATATTATGGTAAGGGTATTTATTGCATCATTGGATAAGATTGATCAGAATCACTTTTTGTTGAAATATTCTTCATATTTTAGGTATATATGGCATTAATCATGTTTTATTAGTTACTTTCTGTTTCAGATCCAAATGCATTATCATTCTAAGGCTGCCATGTCATTTCATCGTCCCTTAACCTATTTGATAAATTATCCTCTTGTGAGGCATCGATGCTTCCATTAATTATGCCGAGGCTATTTTAATTTTCAAGTACACTAAAGTGCAGATTTTACTATGGTTAAGGCTATTGTATCATTAGCCCTGATGAGGAGGAGTTGTAACCAAAAGCTGAAGAATAATGATCACTCATATGGTCTTAGACATTCTCTTGATCATCTGTATTCTACAAGTTGCTCATGCTCTAATTGTTTATGTTGTTATTGTTTGAAGTTGACAGTTATAAGCCAGTTGACAAATTGCTCAACCTCTTTGTAGTTTAATCTTATGTCTTAGATAACTCTTCTTTGCCAACTTAATTTTTCAATTTCAAATTATTCCTGCTTTGATTATTTGCATTCATCATGAATTACTATAATTATCTCTAAGCTGGTATGGGGGTATTCCCTTAAATGGCATTCAATGATGTTCTCTGTATAAACTAATTTTACTGCTGAAACTCATTCATTTATAGTCCAGTAGCATTGATATAGACATTCGGGTTCTAAACGACTACAGGTTGGTTCTAAATTTAGCCTTGCATAAAATTGGGCTATTATTAGATATAAGTTTAATTTGGATTCCCAATAAATGGCATCTAACTATTATTGAATTGCAACATGTTTTATTGGTTCTAATTTTGTTGAATTTAATTTTGCAAAGGTTATTGATTTATTTGTATCTGTGGGCCATAATATGCCATCTGATTAAAGTATTATTGCTATGATTATTTCTGCTAAGGTATTTAATTCATGTAACCGAGGATTTGGGAGTTATTTTAGTTAATCTAAACTCCTCCTGCAATTTTAGAGTTTAATATATTATTTTCAAGATGGCTTTTTATGTGGATAGGTTACTCAGTGGGCATAGCATTTCTATCGCCAAATTGAGTATTATTTAAGTTCTTTTTTACTGATGAGGTAGAGCTAGGGTTGTTTAAGCTTACTGATCTTACTTTGTTTGCTTCATCACTGGTGTCAGAAGATCCATGATCTTCGTCTCCGTCTGCTAGGTTCTCATTTATTTCGAACAGTTTTGTTTTACTTTTCTATCTTCTACCTCCTCTAATTTGTTTTGACATCATAATGTTGACTTTTAAATTTCTTCCATTGATATTGGCTCCGTCATATTTCTAAATTGCCCAGTTAGCTGACTCTTAGTTTTGAAACTTGACAATCAAGATGCTTTTTTAACATGAATTGTGTATTAAAAATCTTACCACTATTTAATAAGTTTATAGTCTAGATCAATCACGTCATGAACATTGAGATCATTCAAGATGCATCCTGTTGTCTCTCGATCTATGTTGCTGATCATTACCTCATTTGATTTTTCTGTCGAAGTGTTCTTTACTTAGCTCTGTCTACTTGTAAAGGATCCCCTGCCACTATTATTCATTATTTGCCAATATATTTACTTCGCGTTAAAAGATACAGATTAGTAGTCATTGCTAAGCTCTGTTTTAGGTTGGATTTGCTAATTTCTGTTGTCGAGTGTTGTCTGTCTATAACTCTAGTCAAAGTTATCAGTAAATGCTCTTGAAAAAAGGGACTCAGGGTAAATAGATGTTTGCTGTGTATTCGTATTTTCCGAGCCAATCTCTTTAGCTTAGATATTAATTTGCGAGGAATCTATTGTGGTGCTTTATTTGCTATAGTATTTCTATGATAAAATGAAAGTAATACCTAAAATTTAATTTTCGATTGACTGAAGCAGGCCTTTACTATTGTATGTAGGACATTTGGTTTGTATTATTAGAATTAACCTGTGACTCATTGATAGCAAGCTTAGAAAACATGCTGTTGACATCACGTTGATCTGACTGCATATTTGCAAACCCGTTTAGCGAATGCATAGGAATGCCGTACTATAAAGAATTATACTGAAGCTCATTTGCTTTCTGTAGCTTGATATATTGCTGGTTAATTCAAATTGAAGTATTTGGCTAATTTTTTAGAGTCCCTTATACACTCTAAAGCAATGAGTTATTTCCTGATTATTGATTAAACATAATAAATTATTAATATATTAAATTTATATTTACCAAAACCTACCTTTCATTTCACATATATAAGCATAGTGGGGTTTTGGGGTTTTGGGG